GTGGGCTGGAGAAGCTTAGGGATCTTCTCCACAATGTCTCAGATTCGGGCTCCTGGGAAGCAGCAGACTTCCCAGGCTAAGGGGTCGGGGCAGCAGATTGCCCCCTCAGTCCCCCTCAAGATGGAGTCTCCCACGACAAACGCTTTGCATTTTGTCTTAGGGAGAACGGGTGTGGTAGCTACAGTTGAGCCTGTGTTGCTGGCAGGAGCTGGCAGCTTAGCAAGCTCTGCTGGGGCTGCAAGAGGTTCAGACCTGCTGCAAAGCTCCAGCGGGGCGGGGGCCTTGGTGCAGCGGGCCTTGGGGCCCTTGACCACCTTGGTCCAATCCCCTGGCTGGACAGAATGGGAGGTGTCCTCTCTTGTCCTGGAAGGTGTCCATGGTCTGTCCTACACCTCCAGGGGGAGAAGGGCCTGGCAGTAGGAGTCTATTTCCCACTCACCATCCCTGATGGCATGCAATCTCTGGACTGCGGCCTGGAGCTCCTCCAGCTGGCGTGCCAGTGACCCCAAAAGGGAACAGACCTTTGCTGTTGTGCTTTTTGCCTGCAGCTCTCCCGCCCCACCTAGCAGGTTGTGAGGCCAATTTGCAGTGGCTCACAGGATTCCTGTCATTTCATTTTTAGTAAGTTTTTTTTACCTGGCAAATCTATGCCAAAATTGCCGGCATTGCCGTTTTCACAGGATTTCACAAAAAATGCAGAATTGCAAACAAGGTAAATCCCTACCCTTAAGACTTGGAATTGCCTCCAGAACAGTTACATAAGAAGAGAAGAGAACAGACAAAAGCAAGTGAAATACGAGAGTAGCAAAAGAGAATGGGGAAGGACAGAAAACAAAGTTTAGAAACAATGACATTTACAAAGATGGTCATGTTTTCAAAATACAGAATGCAGCAAGTAGATACTTAAATAAACAATGTTATGGAACCTGAGGATCCATTTCTTATTTATATTAAGACTCCTGTATATTTCTCTGCTATTATAAAAGGACTTTACTGTGGAGCAAATTGAATTTATATCCGTTTTGAAGATCACTTTACTCTGTCACAACAAAGAGAAAGAATGTTACTTTCTATGAGACTGACAGTATAAATTTAGTATCTACCTAAAGATGCAGTCTATCTTTGATCTTTGTATACATCTCCAAATGGCACCAGTGAAAGTTCCACTGTTAATTGAGGGCAACTGGAACGCCTAGGTGTAAGTGGGCCCCAATTAAAAAAGAAACGAATCTCTCTCCATAGAATGAATTAGGTACCTGAATTAGTCCAGTTTAAAAATAACTGAAATATATGTTACTATTCTGAAACCTAACCCAATTTGGGTCATGCCCCGAGGTTGGGAACCACTGTGTTAGGAAAACCTTTGCATTTACTCAAATAGAGAGAGAGATGATCTGTGATAAAATCCACTTTTTTTCACACAACTAGTAAACCTTTATAAAGCTTGACACAGATGATATCTTAAGAAGTCATGGAAGTGTGCGTGTTTTAAATGAAGACTTCAATACATACAGAAAATATAAAATTCTATCCTTCCCCCTCCTTAAGACAATTGTACAACTCACCCCTTTAGGTATCAAGTATCCTCCAACAATGAGATCTTCTTGAGTCACCCTACCATTGCCTGGTAATACTGGGAATAACCTACAGACAATTGTTAAATGAGACACTCAACATTAATTACTAACAAAAGGAAAGCTAAATCCTATTTAGATTCCAAGGTAACATATAATCATCATGAAATGGACTGTGGCAAATACAGGTTCCAAGGGTTCTTATGATATTTCCACACCACCTCCATGTTGTACTGGAAACAGCACCATTAAGCACACCCCTCCACCTTACTCTCTCTCCATCACACCAAAATCATCCCAAATGAGCTGATTTAATCACCTTAGTGCAGGACTTGACGCTTGCCCAACACTGGCACGCTGTCTCAGATATGCTTACAGAGGGGCACTTAAGTGCATGACAAAGGCAGCTACATTACCTCTTTTTCAGGATTTGGTGTGCAGAAAGCTAGAGTCAGTGGATAGGGAGTTCTTCATGGCATGGAGGTAGTATAAGCATGGGGCTCCCTGGTTTGTCAAGTGGTCCAAATATAAGACTAGGAGCTAAAAACTCCTCATTTTTAATTCTGGCTCTGCCAATGACAGGGATTTTTTTTTTTAATCCACACCTGAAAAATAGGAATAATAAATTGTCACTGGTTCTTAGACACCAGTTTGCAAGGAACCCCTGATTCAGAGGCAGGTGTAGTTGCAATCATTTTACCTCCACAATCATAGCAACTGCCCAGAGCTAGCCACCTTTAAGGGAAGAAATAGAGTCATGTGTAGGTAACTTCCTTAAGAACTACAGAAGTAGGTAAATTCCCTTATATCCTCTAAGGAAAAATTTCTCCTACACCCACTGCTGAGGTGGTGTGGTTTCATAGTCCTCTATAAGAACCAGTGCTTTAAAGGCACAGTCTAACTCTTATCTACAATGCAGACATGTAATGAGTAGTATAACCGTATTTTCTTGCATACAACACACACTTTCTAGTTGCTAGAAACTGGGGTGGGTGTTACAAGCAAGGAAATATGGCAACAGCAATTTCTGCCCCTTAAGCTTCTGCCAAGCAAGAGTGAAATTAACTCTGCACACGATCCACATTGAACAGAAGAACAATGAGCAGTCTCCCTAGCTGCTGCTACTCAGTTACTTAGAAGGAGATCATCTTTCCTTCATTCTGCCCTCCAAAAACAAGGTATGTATGTTATTCCAGGGTGTGTTGTACACAAGATAATATGGTAATTAATAATGACACAGCACTTAATATTTTCTAAGTGTAATATAAATACAATATTACGGTGATCAAAATACACTGTACACATTAGTGGTACAATAATTAGCAGTAATAGTAGGTAAGAATAAAGACACAAAAGCTTTGAATTATCAGTTTGCATTTGTCTGCTACTTACCTCAGAGTTTCTTTAAGCACAGCTCTTATCATTGGCAATTTAGGGACATCATCTGCAGTGGGAACACGGTCTTTGCCCAACTTATTAACTATTTCTTCATACACAGATTGCTGAACTTCAGGATGCTTTGCCAACAAGAATGTTATCCAGGACAAAGTAAAAGAAGTCTAAGAAAAAAAATCAGCATAATCAGGAACAGCCAGAGTAGATAAAAATAATTAATTTAATGCCAGGAAAAACAAATCAAATGCCAACTGAGGATTCATTATACACACATT